AAACAGAAGCGTTTGTAACCCGAGGTTCCACTGTACTATCCTCAGGGGAAATTTACTGTATGATGTGCTTTTACATTGAGGATCCTTTTTGGGGGCATTGTTTTTTCATTATGTCTTGGTAGATAAAAAATTGATTGCTTAAGTTGCTTTGCGGTTTCTTAAAGCAGCAGATGTTCTTTTCACTGGTGACTGGGTTTCAAAGTCTATTTCAGATGCTATTGGCATCTACAGTCAGTCTACATCAGGGTCTTCCTCCTAGAGCTTCTGAGTGGGCATTATTTCCTGTCTTACTATGTGTCCCTTTCACACTTGAATAGTTAGACAGAATTAATCTGGAAGATACTAGGATTAATCACCTCTTCTGGGGACTTGCTGCCTTTATTTATCTCCACCTTTGATAATTGCGAAGATGGTGTCTCAAGGTGTTCCAAAATCTGTTATTTTAAAAACATGGTGTGTTTTGTCTTGTCACCTTATTTTAATTTTTGTTAATTATTTTCTGTACTTTATTCACTGTCCTTAACATCTAGGAGCTTACCATTATCATCTTAAAAATGTGTTGCTGGATAACCTCTTGTTTACCCTCATGTAGAATTGCTCTATTTTCTCTCACCATTTGATAAAATAATCATTATGGCATGTAATTTATGTCAGTATATGTATTTATTACAGATGACAAAAGAACTGAAGAAAAGGTTGAATCTGGTGAAGGTCCTTCTGTGGGGAAATCCAAAAGACGTTTTCCAGATTTTGGGTATGACTTCTTTGGTTTTAACAACAGAAAGCTGATGTTTTTGTATTGATTTACTGAACTGCAGTTCTGTTTCATCAAAGTTAGATACTCATTTGAATAATTAATGCTGGTAATAACTATCTGTATCGAAATACCACTTTAAGTGTACCTTGGAACTACTTTGCTCTTCTAGCATCATGGGAAACAATAATTTTTTATTTATTTTTTTTTGCTTTATGCCACTAGAGACTATCATTTAGCTTCAAAGATTGAGTTTTGGGTTTTGTTTTGACTTGAGATACACTTTTAATAAGTGTTTTATTTGCTATTTAGTAGGATATGAGTGAAATATGAGATTATTTACATTATGTATATTTAAATAAACATTCAAATTACTTTGTTCAAACTACTTTGTAACATCATATTGAGACTATCATTTGGATCTAGATTTGTATGATTACAAATGGAACAAATAGAGTTTTTTTATTGATTATGTGCCATCAAGGTAGTGTCAGCTCTTAACAACCACACTGATAGATTTCCTCTATGACGATCTGTCCCTGACTCAGTCCATCAGGTCTTCCAACGGTGCACCCATCACCAATGTAATTGAGTTCATCCACATTGCTGCTCCCCTTCATGGATCACTGCCTTGTCGTGGCGAAGGGGCTTGCGTAACTCAGTGAAGCCATGAGCTATGCCGTGCAGGGCCACCCAAGACGGA